CATATTTATGTACATATGAGCAGCGCGCACATGTTATTCTTGATAAGTGATAATATGAATAGAATTCGCGAAAGCGAACATAAACACATACATATGGTCATGAAACATATGATCCATAGATAAGTTTTGAATGATAAAATGTACGATTAATGTACATTTATCACTATTGCAATATATTTAATTTTTTTTAATAATATTATGATAGTTTCTTATATACATACATATGTAACTATGAATATTGCCCTGAAAAGAAATCTAATTCAAATGTATTCATTAATATGCATAAAAAAATTCATACAAATACACATGTTTGCATATAAACGTATAAAAATATAATTTAGCAAAAGAGCGAACATACGTCTGTTAGAGCAATATATAGTTTTGAGCATAATTTTTATTTCACTCTCAGCTCTGTTCAAACGAAAATGTTAAAATTTCTACTGCCGAGCTGGCCTGCCGCGTTAGCCAAAAATATTTGTACGATCTCCACGCCGTGAACCTTCTCTATGATAGACGTTCTCTGACTTTAGCGCAAAACCAAATATGCCCGCGAGTAATATTTTATGATTCTAAATGCCTTTGGTGCCATGCAATGCCTTTTATGTTAAAAGTCTTTAAAAGATAGTAGAATATATCCTTAAAAGAACTTTTGTTAATTTTCATTATACTATTAATTATTTAGATGAAAAAGAACGAAAATGTCTTTTTAAAGAAAAAAAAATATTTTTTTGSAAAAAAATATCTGATTGGTTATGTAAAAACGAACTTAGATTATTTAGATTAGAATTTTATCGAAGAATAATTTATTTTTAATTTTGCTTATAAAATTTGCTTAATTTTAATTCCAATTTCTCTCTGGGCTATTTTTGTTTCGTGCTCACCAACACAGTGACAGATCCTCTCATGCCGACCACTGATTTAGAGCAGGAATAAGGGATGCCCAACTTATTGCAGTGTGAGAGCGCCTCAAAATAAGCGTTTTTTATAACATTTTCCATTATGGCCAGATTGAACAAAATAAGAATTTTTGGGCATTTTGAATTAAAACACCCAACATTTATTACGATTGCAAATTATTATTATATTGGATTTTGAAATATACATATGGCGAGTAGTTTCGTAAAGTAGAAAATCCTGTTTTTATGATTTTATGGTATATTAACACAACTGACTTTCGATACTTAATAAGGTGAATTAAGCCTGTTAGTTCTCAATTAATAAATGTTTTTAACATTTTTCCATTGAAAATAATACTATGATGCTTCACATTACAAAACGTTTCACCAAATACATTTAAATTTCATAAATTTATTTAATKGTCGTTGTTTTACATTTCATCTAAGTTGTATTGAACAATGCAACAAATCCCTCCGTTTATATATTTTTTTGRCAAGATTTCAATCTGGCTAATTGCTTACTGTGCTAGCTGTCATTTTACTTAAATACATATTTTGACGTTAAATCATGAGGAAGGTAAATTTGAAATGGATTTTATAATTTCTATTTAAGTTAATATTATAAAGTTTTGATACAGTTTTTTTTAAGAATGCTGATGGTGCGCCAATTCACAATAGCCGAGCACAATAGGCATTGATGTGGGGAACACAATGCTCGCGACAGACTACAGCAGCACGACAGTGAACTGAAAATGGCGTTGGGAATCSTGCTACATGAACATTTGTGAGAGGGCAGCAACATAACAATGGCCGGCATGTACACAAAACAACGCAGCTGTCCATTTTGCATGTACACAATTTCGTTGTGGCCATACTAATTYCTTGCACTTCAATGAAATTTTAATATTTTGTTCAAAGTGAAATTTTTTATGCAAAAAATAAGTAAATACGAGTAGGTAAATTTATTTGTTTTAAATTATCAATTGTTATTATAAATGATGTAACGGAGCTATTTTATGCTTTTATTTATAAAATAACGTCAGGTTTCTTAGAGCTATGAGTAATTTTACATTTTACATATYAGTGGCATCACCACTCTACCTCATCTCTCTATCTTCCATTCTACTGTCAACTCTACTGTTGTTGGCAAATATAGGATAAAATTGAAGTTAGTGAGAATGACAACTGTCGGCYTGCAGTCGTGTAGTCGTGCAGCTGTCAAAATAGATCTGTCCATAAGAGCGTGTGTATTTCAATATTTGTTGACAGATGTCGTTTGCAGTCTGTCGCGAGCATTGTATTCAACATATGACAATAAATTGAAGGAATAGGCGTTCATATATCACTAGATTCTGMAATGGATGCTCTCGTGCCCTTKTATATTTCGGTATAGGATTTTTGCAATCTGCGATCTATATACGAACATTATCCTATGCAAGATTGTATAAAGCTTGGTGTGTTAATCAGGGATAATGGGATGCCCAACTTATTCCAGTGTGAAGGCGCYTCAAAATACGCATTTTTTATAACATTTTCTATTGTGGCCGGCACAGCACTTCATTTTTTTTCTCTCACTACGGCTATAGTTTTTTACGTACCTACCTCTTTTTACAAAACTCGAAGAAGAGAAGAGCACATACTTTTACATTGTTATGCTAYGACTTTGCTATGGCTCCCGACAAAGTAAGAGCGGTAGCAATAGCAATGAAATGCTACGGGAGTAGCGTAGTTTTTCAAACACTGGTGAKCGCTTCTCACACTTCATGTGACAGGAGAGATGGGCATCTCTTTATTTGGTGTTATTATGACTAACTAATTATGGTGTTAATGCTTGACTAACCTGTTAATCCAGACAACGAAATTTTCGTTCACAAGAATTTGTATTTTAATAGGTACTAAATAAATACATTATTGAGCAAATATTTCATATTTTAAGGAATTATAAGTCGACTTAAACTGAAGTACTTTGGTATTTTTACTATTCTGTGTKCTGTAGGTTTGACTTTATTGCTCCAACCGTAGCATTCATCTTATATCCACTTACGCTTTTTCAAAATATACACAGACACAGATTTTTATTACAAGTAATTCTTAGAGAAACAATAATAATTATAATTCCAGCGGCGAACTGACGTACTTTGCCCATGAATTTTAGTTTTTATATTACAAAATTTTAATGCGGAAGTATGAAGTGGGAAATTCATAATAATTATAACTGTTTTCGTTGAAGACATGGAATGACAATTATTCAAATGACTATATAATTATATATAAACTATGACTAAATGAACGAATCTAAACCTTATCAATTACTACGAATAATTTCCAGTTTCGAAAACAAGGAGGATTAAGGGRAAGTTCTTGATTGATTTTCAAAATGTCTAAAAATATACAGTTAAATTATTTTCCGAMGAACCCATTATTTCTGTTGCCGACAGAAGGTTGGAAGCTCTAACGATACTACAGTCTAAWTTTGGTATGGAAGTTGCTCCTCTTTGCAAACTAGTTGACTCTTTCCACGCTGTTTCTTTACTGTTGTTACCTGATTCTCTGTTCTTGTTTGAAAGGGAGTCATTCTCTATTTCATCTTCTTCGTACAACTGCCCATTGGCAGAGGCTCGCGACACTATACCTGGAAGAATGACTAATGATGTTCTTGGCAATAATTACATAACAGTACTAAACTAGAACTTACTTCTTACTGTCGCCGCATAACTTTCTCGCTGTCTTTCCCGATCACACTCCTGATCACCCTTAGCTTCATGTTCCAAATTCGATGCCAGGCCCTTGCCAATTGCGGAATGATTTAGACCACTGCTAATTGGGTTTGACATTGATATATTACCGTCATGCTTCATATGCAACACAGAAACCCCACTATTGCCGCTCGTGACAACAGTTCCAGTACCATTATTGGAAATTTTTTCGTGAGTAACTAAGTTTGCGGAAGACATTGTGCTGTGTGCGTGGCTGTGAACCCGATTTCGTCCTAAAGGAGGTGTGCCCTTTCGCCGTTTGCTCTTTGAGTGGATTATGTAACATGTGAGAATTATAATAATAATAATAAATACACTTATGATTATGCCTAACATTCCTATGAAACTGGTACTCCAAGATGTTTGAGCAATTGCGAGTCTTTCCATGGTCACAGTGACTGGCACAGAGGTACTACGTGGTGGAATCCCTGAATCAGTTGCTGTGGCTACTAAATGAACTGTGGATTCATTAAGCCCTTTTAACTCCTCAGGACGCATGTAAATGCATCCCTTAGTATCTATTTCAAAAAGACTAGCGTGTTGTCCTTTCAATGATAGCTCGAGTTTGTCGTTACGATCACCATCGGCTGCTTCTACTTTTCCAACAATTACACCTTCCAATGATTCAGATGACGAGTGAAGAGCCTGCTAAATTGTATTAAGAATAGATTTAGGTAAAATAAGAGATTTTGGATTAAAATGCAATGACTAATCCGAGTTCAAGAACTATAATCATGTTGAATGATATTACGTTATAAATATATAGGACCAGGAGAAGGGTGTACAGAATTCAGAGTTGGGTCAAACCATATCAGGTGATCCAGGGAAATTTTGAAAATTTGCATTTATTAGGATTATTTCGTTAGAATTATTATTATTTTTGTTATTGAAGGTTGAAATTTAGAGCTAAATAAAATTGTAAAATTAATTTCTCTTAAACTACTASAGATACATGGTGCATTCCAAAGAAAATAGGAAATTTTGAATCTAGTTTCATATGTCTACTAGTGCGTTAGAATCTTGCACGTGATCACCGGAAATTCCACCGAAACTGTGCGTGAATTCATCAAAAATCAGCCGAAATCATCATTGAATTTCATGAAAATGGAACTGAGTATCTCCAACACATCGATTTATCGCATTTTGACCGAACACTTTGGGTGTGTGCTCGGTTTGTTCCGCACAAATTGACTAACGACCAAAAATTGCTGAAAATCCAACATTCGAAGGACGATTAATTGACCAAAAGTAATTTTTTAACCACTAACCTCTTCCCGTATTCACCTGATATGACACCGTGCGACTTCTTCCTTTTCGGAAWAATGCATTTGCTCATGAAAGGAAAGCGTTATGCAGACGTAGAGGCCATTCAAAGGCTTGCACCGGCATACTGGCAGCCATACCGACCAACGAGGTAAAACACTCGTTCAACATGCTTTTGGACCGTGCAAAAAGCTGTATTGAAGCCGAAGGATACTATTTTGAATAAATTAATTAATTTTGACGAAAAAACCAATTGTTCTTTTCTTGTTTTAAGTCTTGTTTACTTTGAAATGCACCTTGTAAATCGATGAAATTTTGTGAAGTCAAAGAAAAATGTGCGTACTATAAGGATTATAGATCCATTTGTAATAATTTTTTATTAAACAATTGAAATTTTTCATGTGTTATTCACGAAAAAAAAACTGAAACTACGTAGCACAAAGCGAAAAATATTCACCTTTAATAATCAGCAAAATTTTGCTTATACTAAATGTACTAAAAAACTGTATGCGGAAAAATTAAAATACAAAGAAATCTAAGTTACACATTATTCTAATTCTGTATGTTCGTCTATACGTACATAATAATTGACAATATTTTATTTAACAAGTATTCTATTAGATCTATTGATTATTTTCCTAATCCTTCCTTATTCCTAGCGCCACAGATGTCGGGAGTTTACGTAGCGCACTGCGTATCGATGGATCTGCACGTTTTAAGAGTGAAAGGGGAGAAATTCAATATCTTTGGAATGACATGAATGAACAAATTTTGTTGCAGATCATTAAAGGTTTTTGCTTTTGAGTTTTTTTAGCATGAAGAACACAAGAAAAATTTGTTTAATAAAAAATTATGTATAATATTATTATTTAAATAAATGGACGGCGAAAAGCACCAAAATTTTCTTTGACTTCAYAAAATTCCATCGATTTATCTCCAGTAGTTTATGATAAATAAATTTTACAATTTTATTGTGCTCTAAATTTCAATAACAAAAAATGGATTTTGATGAAATATTTATATCATATTTTTTTTTATGAATTGCTTTTTACTCTTATCAGAATTGAGATATAAAATATCCTATATTTTAARTTGGACCGAATGTGTTAAATTTTACTCAAATCGGTTCAGTAGGTTAGTTAGTGATACATAAATGTCCAACTGTAATGTAAGTATATTTAGTTAAGGAATCTCAGGAAGAACTAGATATCGTCATCTGAAATGCAAAATAACGTAACAGCATTTTCGGAAATTTACAGTGGCATGGATGAAACACAAAATAAAATGGAACATGAGTGAAACAAAATTTTAGTATTGGTTAAAACTGGTTTATATCTGATCGCAGAACCTGAAAATGTTGAACATATGTAATTTGAAGAAGTGAAGTGACACTCAATTTCGTTTTTTTTTTTTTTTTTGGTGATACGTTATTTTCCATTTCAGGTAACGATATATAAATCTGTTTGGTTAAGGATTTCTCTTCGAAAAGGACTTCAAATGTACATACACATATACTTACGTTCTTTGGAATCACAAACTCGTAATGCGTCTCTCGAAATCTAGGTTCCCAGTCATTTACATCGATAACTTCCATCGTTATATCTGAAGTAATATTTGTCAAACCATCCGTTGCCATTACTTGGAAATTATGYTTTGTCATTTTCTCATAGTCGAGAGGCTTAACTAATATTACTTCACCCAATGAACCCACACTAAAAAATTGAGAATTTACAGGATCCARTATTGTATATTTTAAGTGTTTTCCYGGTTTGTTAGTAGGCAATGCTAAAATACGATTTCCCACAGGGGTATCTTCGCGTATTCGCATGAAAAACTTTTGCTGCACAAATGACAGCGCACTAAAGTCAGAACGCACTCCTTGCCGAGTTAACATAACGGTTGTTAAAGCATAGCGATCGGCGTTGTCTATTTGTGTTGCCTTCACCACCAGTGTCGCACCGTTAACTAGATCCGCATAGCCGATGGGTGTCAGTAATGTTATAATGCCGCTATGAGGGTTTATTCGAAAGTATGTCGTATCCTGTGATTGAACAATTGTATACTGAATAGGAGCACATATGCCTTCATCTTGGTCCACAGCTTTTATGGGTTCTGGACGTAACCTTAAATCACCGGGACGTCCATCGCTCGGGAGCTCTCCAGTGTAGGAGTTATATTGAAATTTAGGGTTTTGGTCATCTGCATCTGTAATCACTACTCTTAGTGTTGTGTCCGTATATTTTGGCGGAYTGCCCTGATCTTGAGCCCTAAGTTTCACTGTAAAATTTTGCATAGTTTCGTAGTCCAACGACTTTTTTAGTACTAATGTACCTTCGAGAGGGTTCAAAAACTGGACAAAATCTGAATATGGTCCGGGTAATATTTGGTATTCGACCGTAGAAAATGGACCTGGTTGATCTGCGTCTTCTGCATGTGCACCTTGTAGTATTCTTGTACCGGATACAGTAACTTCAGAAAGCGTTACGATATATGGTGCACTTATCCAAATCGGGGAGTTGTCGTTCACATCGATTACGCGTACRTTAACCGGAATCACAAAACTCTGAAAAGCAAATACGAAAATCATTACTTTGATCGTCCATATTATCGAAGAGTTCCTAAATTAAGTTTATTAATTTATGATGCATATGTAATACAATTATTATTTCACTATTAATGCAAATGGAGCACACACTTACAGTTGACATCGCTGAATCGCCTGATATAATTAAGAGTGTAAAGTGAATGTTTTGGTTGAATTTTGTTTGGTATCGGATTCTCTTTTRTTTTGGAAAAAAAGATCGTCTAGGAGTTGCAAATGCTTTCAAASAAGGAAAATAGTGATCCAAYCTGAACAAATTACGGAGATCATATACAGGGTTTGTCCAGGTTTTAATAGACTAAGTCGATTTAAGAAAATTTATTGAACAAATCGTTTTAATTATTTAAAAATTTTCAAAATAGGCTCCTTCTGTGTCGATGCAGCGCTGCCAGCTTTCCAAGCATTGAAGGCGTCGCTGAAGACATTCTCCTTGCCTTGAGAGCCGAGGTACATGCTGCTTGGAAGCGTTGGGATGCCGCCCTTGGTTAGGTAGCTGGTCACAAGAAAGGCGGTGTGAGCTGGGGCGTTGTCGTGGTGCAACTTCCAAACGGCTGAGATGTTTTGTCGGACCATTGAACCTTCATTTGAGTCTCTTGAGGACTTCAACGTAAAACTTGGCGTTGACGGTTTATCCAGGAGGAACAAATTCAAAAATGGTGGACGCTGATTTTGATGTCAAAAAAGGCAATGAGCATCTTTTCACTTTGGATTTGCTCATTCTTAACTTTTTTGGGAGAGGAAACGCTGCATGTGCCACTCGGAAGATTGCCTCTGAAACACACCACTTCTTGCTGAAGCAACATCTGGGTAAGCCTGCTTGATCATATCAAATGTCTCTGTCGCAAATTTACCGAGTTTCACACAGAATTTAATCGCATACCTCTGCTCTAACCAACGCTACATGCTCGGATTGCACCACTCACAGAAACACGTCTCGCGAAAATGTTTGTCCTGACTCTTCAGGTGGAGAACTGACCAGTCACTCGTTCGTTAGCTAGGAAGACCCTCTACCGAATCCATTTGGTGCGCGCACGTAAGTACAGTCGCGGCGAAAAAACAGGCCTATTACTTTCCGGACAAACTCTGTATGCAAAATTTCGTGAATATACATTGTTTTTTATATGTTATAGTCGAAGTCGTAATATATACAACATATTATGTGCATGGAAACAGCCCAATTTGGAATATCTGTAATATCGACATCCTCAGAGATCTAAGGAACACATTTACAAAGTTAGGAAACGAAAAAAAAAATAACCCTGTGTAGCATATAGTGAAAAAAGTTGTTTGGAACGCCATATTCTGATATTCAGAGGCGATAATCTATACCCGACAAATTCGTATGAAAGAAAATTGTCAATTGTTGCAAAACGSCGTTATATATTTGAAAGAGAACTTTATAAAATGTCTTTATAAAACAAAAGGGATCGAGCCTTAGGAAATGAGCAAATCACAGTTTTGAATATAGACAGTACACAGATAAACACAACATTCTATTCTTACAAATTATGATTTCTTGTTACTTTAAGTGATCGTCTTAGAGTGAAATTTTCGGAAAAAATCGCCTTTTTTGTTGCTTTATCGGATAGTATACGCTGTAATAAACACTCTCTCAAATTCTCAAAAATAGTGCCAAATTCGATACTTTTTGTTCAAATCGTCGCAAATTTTTCAGTTTTCGAAAAAAAAAGTTTCCATAGCGCGATAGCGGCTTTTCTAGAAATTAATAATCTTTCTGAAATTTTGGTCTTAGACCAAAATTGAGGCCGCAACCGTGGRCATCGTATATGACCTTTTCTTACGTGTCATTTCAACAAATTATTCGACTATTTTACTCTTCTTTTTCTTCACTGGCGTAGACACCGCAGCGGGTACTGCGTCGAATACTCTCAGAGCTGGAGTGTTTTCGTCCATTCGGACAGCATGACTTAGCCAGCGTAGCAGCTGTCACTTAATTCGCTGAACTATGTCAATGTCGTCGTATATCTCATATAGCTCATCGTTCCATCGAATGCGATATTCGCCGTGTATGGTCCATCTTTCGCAGAACCTTTCTCTCGAAAACTTGACTCATCAGATGTTGTCATTGTCCATGCCTCTGCACCATATAGGAGGACATGAATAATGAGTTATTATGAGTGAGTTATAGAGTTTAGTTTTCGTTTGTCGAGAGAGGACTTTACTTCTCAATTGCCTACTTTGATGGTGGTGTTGATACTGGTTCCAAGGTAGACGAATAGTTTTGCGGGGATACCAAACTCAGACATCGCGGCTTAAAGGTAGCGAACAACGCAAGAAAGCTGCAAAACATGAACAAAAAACGTTTCAATGTTAGTAAGTATTCCGCCATCGACCTTAAATAATTCTGCATTTATGGATACCCCTAATAGTAAACTACCTTTCTTTTTTTGTGGTTTCTTGTAACGGACTACAAATTTCAGTCCAGATTTATAAGAARCGTTTCATATTAAACGSAGTGCGTAAAAATGAGTTTAAGAAACCTGAGTTCTTGACGATAAAATAGCTGAATTCTCGGCCATTTACAAAACCAGTCGGTGGTGAAGCGAAGAAATATAATGTTGCTAAAACCACAATTTGAGACATAAAAGCAAAAAAGACAAGTGATTTTAAAATGTGTAAACAACACATGTATTCAAGAAAACGAAGCTAAATTTTATATATGGCTCAAGCAGYTCACGTCCTCCGGTCGAGCTGAAGTGAGAAGCCGAAACATCCCCTACATACAATTGTGCATTGGGTTTGAGACCCGCCATGTAAAAAAACACCCCCAAGGAAACAACAAGCCTCGGATGAGTGACCGCCCATTTGATGACGACCACGGCAAACGAATTAAGGACTATGAATTGAGGCCATGAACCTGGAATGTCCGGTCTCTTAACTGGGATGGTGCCGCTGCCAAGCTGGTTGATGTCCTCGTAAAAATAAAGGCTGRCATCACCGCCGTCTAAGAAATGCGATGGACAGGACAAGAACAGAGACCAGTAGGTCCTTGTGGCATTTACTACAGCGGCCATATAAAGGAGCGCATCTTTGGTGTGGGATTCGTGGTGGAAGAAAGACTCCGTCGCCGAGTACTATCATTCGTTCCGGTGAATGAACGTCTAGCCACAATCCGTATCAAAGCGAAGTTCTTCAACATATCGCTGATTTGCGCCCTGACGGAAGAGAAGGACGATGTGTCTAAAGATGCCTCTTTGAGCGCACCTATGAGATGTCAAAATTGTTCTTGGCGGCTTTAACRCCAGTATATTCAAGGAAGGTATCCTTAGCATAACAGTCCCAAAAGGGTTGATKGTTGTGATAGAGGGAACGTCYGGTGTGTTTAACGTGGGCACCTGCTGACGACAGCCTTACTCCACGGCACTCAAAAGTACAGCGGATCAAATCAATGCGTTTATCAGCGCCCTGAGAAGGCCAAGCATTTTCAGTACCAATTGGCAGTGTGGAATGGACACACTAGCCACCTTGGTCGGGTTCGAGGCCC